TCTCTCTCTCTATCTCTCTCTCTCTCTCTCTCTCTCTCTCTGTTTTACTTCAATTTGTTTTCAATCCAATTATCGATAACTTAATCCCAAAGAGAAAAAGCAAATTGTAATTTCAAAACAAATTTAATTAACAAATTGTATTTCAAAAAATAAAATAACAATAATAACGTTATTAACAAAATAACACTAATAATTGTTTATAAATTCAAAACCTGTGAATAAATTTTATTAAAATAAACATTTGTGTTAAAAGATAAAAGTATTTAATTAATATATTTTAATCAATACCATTTAATTTAAATTAAAAATATATTTAATATATTTTATAAACTCAAATCAATTAAGAAGTAGATTAAAGTCTAAGAAACCATTAAAAAGGTATGGTTTATAAAAATGTATATGAATTTACTTTTGATTTAATAATAATCCAAATTATTTTTGATATCGATTTAGAATAAAACAAATAAGAAGAAGAAAAAAGGTATTCGTCTAATAATTGAGGAGAAGTTTCATTTGATCTCCAGATCTAAAGGAATTAAATTTAGCGAAAAGTACGCCAAAAAACATAAATAAATACGAATTTATTTGATGGCAAAAATTAGGCCAAAAAACAGTGTTTCATAAAATGATGGCCAAAATGATGGCCTGTTTTGCCATTTTATAGAAGTTTTTGCGCTGCCATTCATTGGCATTGATTTGTATGGTATGACAGCACAGGACTTGAATACATAAAACTCATGCCTCACTCTCTAATTGAATCGATACCAGCTTTTCATCGCATGGACGCCACCATTGAATTCACGTCCCCTTATATATCCGTTACATTTGATTTCATTTGATTTATAAATATTAATACTCTCTTTCATTTCACCCATTATGCTTTATTTGTTTTTTGTTTAATTAATCAATTTTAATCGTGTTTTCTATGAGTATTTTATAACAATTACATGTAATGTGCGCTAAAATTCATTGATTTCCAAAAGGCATCGAATACTGTAATGTTTTTTTGTTGTTGAAAAAGTGGTTTTTATCGTGAATTCAATGATAAGAGAGTGAATGTAAGGATAATCTGTGAAATTCCTTTGGGAGATAAATTCCAAACAATTTTTATTTTATTTTCAAAATTAAAAATTTCTTCGAAATCAGAGATATTAGAGAAAAATCAAACAATTCTTTAAATTTATGCTAAAATCTGAGAATTCATAAAAAGAAATGATAAAATGATTGTCATTACAAATACCTGTTTATGAGAGAGTTCTCGTTAATCAGAAATTTGAACTTTTATTTGAATATTCTCTCAGAAATCAGATCTATTTTTCACAAAGAATTCATACGTTATATGCAATGAATGAATGAATTTATGTGAATATAATTCTTAGAAAAATCATTTTTATTATACATTTTGAGGCAATAATTTTCGGGGAGAAAATCACAAAATATGAGAACTCATGAATTTATGAAAATTAATTTAAATTTTGTAAATTTATTAATTTATTTGCGTTAAGGAGTAAAAGGCCGGCGGATGGGAACCGAGTTTTATTAGATAAAGTTAATGTCAAAAGTAACTCTAGTGCTTAATATATCGATCAATTTACAAATAAATATTTAAATAAATAACACTTTATGTAAAAACCATATATTTTATATATATTTCACACTATTTTTATTGAATAATTATCCAACACATAAAATGTGGAGCTTTTGGGTCCGTTTGGCACGTTTTCACAATCATTTTCATTGGTTTTTTATATTATGTTTTGTGTGTTTGATTTCCGGTCAACAATAGTACAGATCATCTCATAATCCCAAACAATTTCCTCACAAAACTAATACTTAATAAGACGACCACTTATGAGAACAACGGTTTTTATAGTCAACATAAGTACTAATAAATTATTTGCAATAATCACTTGTAATACAATTATTGTTTGCATTAATGTCTTAATTGAAAGTTTTTTGGTAAAATAATGTAATTAAGAAACTAAACCCTATTATAACATCACAAATCGTGGGTTTAACTCTTACCCATTGTGTTTAAAATGCAATGTATTTTTTAGTATTTAGTAAATACTGAATATTTTAATTACCATAAAAAATAATATAAAATAAAAAGTAATAGTGTCGAGTGAAAATATTAAAAGGATTAATGTGAAATAAAATGATTTACTAAATGCCATGTGATCTATGACAGAAAAAAGTGGTCAAATTATTACATCAAACGTAACTCTTAAGTGAGAAAAAGACATTTAATATGAGATGTATAAGCGTTGCGAACAGAACTGAACAGAGATTGCGAGCACAACAGCACTACTTCTCCAATTCATTACGGGATTGCACTCAACATATCTATACATCTAAATAGAGACACATTAAGTGCGGGTCAAACACAGTAAGAATTGGATGCACTGAACATTTTTTGCTAATAATATTTATGCAGAGAGAGAGAGAGAGAGAGAGAGAGAGAGAGGGATGGAGAATTGGACGCCGTTTTTGATGTAAATGATTGATTGGACAATAGAAATGAAGGAAACGGCAATAAGTCTCGAATAGTCATGTATTTCATATGATATGGAGCTATCGATTGTGAAAAACGGCATAATTTATAGCAATAGTTCTTCAATCCATTTATTGTATGTAATGCTTAAGCCTTATTGCTTGACCTCTATATGTCAAGCAATAACATCCAGTATCTATCACTTCACTACTTCTTCGGCAGCGCTAATAGTACTCTACTCTACTCTACAGTCTCTGCGCCAACACTTCCCCTCTTCTTCTTCTCTCAGTTTAGTTAATTTTTTCACTCTTTCTATTTTACACATAAATACTCTCTCTCTCTCTCTCTCTCTCTCTTTCTCTCGTTTTGTGTTTTTATTTTTATATAAGCGATGATTGTGTAGGAAATGCTTATAAATGTCAAACTATCGGTCTTTTAGTTTATATGTGGTCTGAGTTGTAGAGTAAAGCATTTCATTGAACATTATTTGTCGTGTGGTCTCAAGTGTTGTTCACCGTATCTAATGATATAGTAGTCGAAGTGTAAAGAGATGTGAAATATAAAAATACCGGTAAATATAAGTTACGACTGTGTAAATACCTGGAGGTCTCAACTATTGGACACTAAAGTAGAAATACAATCTCTTTTATGTTATATTAAACTCATATTTATTTACAACAAATCTTACACTACATTAAAGCAACAAAAGAGTGACTCAAATGTAAGAACAAAAGACAGAGGAGAGAGAAAGAGAGAGAAGAGTAAACTGAAGTATACTATAAAGACTCTAAAAGTATTGTTTGACTCATAAAATATTAGAGAATCATTAAAAAATGTTTTATTTGTGTTTACTTTTATCAGATATAATACATATAAGAGTCGATTGAAGTGGTGTTAAGCGGACGACAAAACCCTTTGGGCAAAAACTGATTAAACTTATATCACAAAAATAGGGATTCATTCAAAGAATTTTGTGTTAAAGTTATATTTCTTTACTTTTCTATTCTCTATATTAGTGATCTCTCTTGAGATATCTTTTGTGTGTGTGTGAGTGAGAGAGAGAGAGAGAAAAGAGATTACTGTTAAGGTGGTAAAAGTTTCATTTGTCAAAAATTTAGTTTTGGCCACCAATTCGTCTGAAAATACATTTTTCACGTTTGACTATAAAAATGTGTTGATTCCACAACTTTGACCAAAAGTTAAGTTTATCAACAAAACAATAGATAATAAGAGAGAATGAAAAATATAATGAATGAGAGAGAGAGAGAGAGAGAGAGAGAGATTACTGTTAAGGTGGTAAAAGTTTCATTTGTCAAAAATTTAGTTTTGGCCACCAATTCGTCTGAAAATACATTTTTCACGTTTGACTATAAAAATGTGTTGATTCCACAACTTTGACCAAAATGAGAGAGAGAGAGAGAGAGAGAGAGAGAGAGAGGCAGAAGTAGATGAAGTGATGGAAATACATGGGATAGAAAGTCTCTCTTCACACACAAAATCAAAGTATTAAAAGTATTGACAAACTTTTCATTCAATATAATGTGTGTCTTGTCGTCAAGAAATGAAGCGATCATTGAATCGAAACTTTAGGCCAATTCGAGCAAAAGTTTTCTTATTGGTTGTGATCGTCGAGTATTTATTGATTAAAAGCAAATACAATATATTTATTATTGTCATCATTGATGCCTTTCATACACTCATTCACTGATTGGAAATTTAAATTAATTATAACTCTATTCACCACTAGTTTTATTGTCAATGAAATCATACCGAGTTATAATTAAATTAAATATTTTAATTATTTAAAATAATTATAACACTAAATAAAAAAATTACGTTTAAATGACATTTATTTTATATAATATGTTTATTGTCTATTATTTTTGCAAAACATAGCTTACAGTAGATTGTTTGTTATTATTAACAACTTATTATAAACTTTATCCGTAAAACAACTTAAAATCTTAAAATATATAAAAAGATAACTCAAATCTTATCCCTTTACTCGTCGTTTAAAGTTTGTGTTTTTCTATCAAATCCGATATAATTTCCAATAGGAAAATATATACTATTTTTTTAACAAATAATATTCTAAGAGAAATAAAATGCAAGAGAAAAATACTAATCTATTAAAAAGTTTTTTAATCTGAGGTTTTTTGTTGTAAATCTGAGAGCAGAACATCTCTGATAAAAACATCCATTCATTTCGTACTCCAAATCAATACTTAACTTATTCTTCGCATATACTGTATATAACGGTAAATCTTTAAAAGCAAATACAATATATTTATTATTGTCATCATTGATGCCTTTCATACACTCATTCACTGATTGGAAATTTAAATTAATTATAACTCTATTCACCACTAGTTTTATTGTCAATGAAATCATACCGAGTTATAATTAAATTAAATATTTTAATTATTTAAAATAATTATAACACTAAATAAAAAATTGCTTTTAAATGATATTTATTTTATATAATATGCTTACTGTCTATTATTTTTGCAAAACATAGCTTACAATAGATTGCTATTATTAATAACTTATTAAAGACTATCCGTAAAACAACTTAAAATCTTAAAATATATAAAAAGATAACTAAAATCTTATCCCTTTACTCGTCGTTTAAAGTTTGTGTTTTTTTTTTATAAAATCCGATATAATTTCCAATAGGAAAAAATATACTATTTTTCTAACAAATAATATTCCGAGAGAAATAAAATGCAAGAGAAAAATACTAATCTATTAAAAAGTCTTTTAATCTGAGGTTTTTTGTTGTAAATCTGAGAGCAGAACATCTCTGATAAAAACATCCATTCATTTCGTACTCCAAATCAATACTTAACTTATTCTTCGCATATACTGTATATAACGGTAAATCTAATGCACAATAAAACTTATATAACATATAGTTATGTACTTCTGTGTGATATTTAGTACATATAATGGTATTGAGAAATATTTTTATTTTGTGAGAATTTTTTTATCGGTGAAAATTTTTCATTCACTTGTAATAAGATTTGTGAAGTAAGAAGAGTTTTGCCATCAAAATGAAGAACTATTTTTCTGGTGAATAATTGATATTTTTTGACGAATATCTGCTCTTATTCTTCGAGAGGAGAGGAATGGGATTGAAGTGCTTTTTACTGCAAATAAATCCGCTGTTGTAGTCAATAGACGCTAACAATAAAGGGATGCATTATTTGTTAGCCGATTGGAGTTGAATATAATAAATATAAACTACAAATAATGCTTGTATTCAAAATACAACTTCAATACAAAACAATGTAAACAACGAAAATTCAACACAAGAATACATTTCTTAATGGATTAACAATTTTGATGAGAGTTTTGCAAATGTTAGACACAATTCAATCCTTTTGTATTTATTTAGTTTCCAATTTATGATCAAATTTATTAATTGAAAATATTAATTAAGGTGTAAATTATTAAATTATTTTAAATTAATTAATATGTGATATTTTAATTAAAATAATATTTAAATATATTATGCAATAGAAAGATCTAAACCGGAACTATTCTCATTGTCTAAGGCATCAAGTTTTGTGCTGATTATTCATTTTTATGAGTAGTGATAAAAAGCTGACTTATAATCAAGTATTTATAATTTAATTCAATTTAATTTAGACTCCATTTCAATTAACTATTCTCATTGTCTAAGGCATCAAGTTTTGTGCTGATTATTCATTTTTATGAGTAGTGATAAAAAGCTGACTTATAATCAAGTATTTATAATTTAATTCAATTTAATTTAGACTCCATTTCAATGAATAAGCAATTGATTGAAAAACACGTAAGTTTGACAGACATTATCACTAAATATTTATAATTTAGTATTAATATTATAAATTATATTGTGTACAAGAGTTTGAATATTAGCACTACTCAAAAGCAGCACAAGTTTTAGGGCTTTTTCATGTCAAACTTTTTACTAACATTTTTATAACAAATTAACTTTCAATAATTTTTTGAAAATATTCAAAATATAGTTGTGTATCAATAAACTAAATATAAAACGAGTTATTAATTATAAACTATTTTTATTTTGTAGACAACACTTACTTCGAGAGGCAATTGAATTAATCATAAAATTAATTAAAATGACATTTTCTTAAATAATGCACAAATAATATATAGTTTTGCGCAATAATTAACTCTTTATACCGGA